TTCTCTGTTCTGTTGTCCATTATTTTGTTCATAAAAGGAACCCTTCATGTTGTTAAAATTGTATTTTAGGAGGGTTGTAAAATATTGTTTAATTAAAAAGGACCTGGAAGAAATGTATGATTTTGGCCTGTGTGGTGGAACATTAAATTATACTTAAAAAAATATATATCCACGAGCCGCTTGCATTCCCCTTTTACACATTCTACAATGCAGTCCCATGCACCTTTGTTTTCTGACAACCAACATTGGTAGGGTTGTGGTTTTTTTAAATTAATTTCTTTGTGGTTGCATCAAGACTGAATTTTTCAGTCCCGTCCCCCCCAGCACACTTGGGAACCCAAAAACTCAGGAATTGCTCTGGCTGGTGGACCAATGTACTGCCTGTTTGTGTTCTTATAATTAAGGTAAAGGTTTCCCTTGCTCGAAAGCCAGTCGAATCTGACTCTAGGGTTGCGATGCTCATCTCACTTTCCAAGCCGAAGAGCCAGCGCTGTCCGAAGACATTTCCGTGGTCATGTGACCGGCATGACTAAACGCCGAGGCGCACGGAACGCTGTTACCTTCCCAACGAAGCGGTACCTATTTATCCACTTGCAATTTCTTGCTTTCGAACTGCTGGGTTGGCAGGAGCTGGGGCCAGAGACGGGAGCTCACTCCGTCATGTGGCACTCGGGACGCAAACGGCTGAACTACAGACCTTCCAGCCTGCAGTTCAGCATCTTAACCACTTGAGCCACCGCAACTCCTTGTGTTCTTATAGAGTCCTTTAACATGGGATTAGACAGGTTAACGGAGGACAGGTCTATCAGTGTCTTCCAGCCATGGTCTCGAAAGGGAACCTCCAGGTTCAGAGGCGGTCAGCCTCTGAATCCCAGGGCCAGGAGGCAACATTGAGGAAGGCCCCTGAGATGGGATGCTGGACTAGATGGGCCAGTGGTCTGATCCAGCAGGGCTCTTCTTTTACGTCACTGTTGTGTGAATGAGGATTATGGATTCGTCGGGGGAATATATGAGGTGCTGTATGGAACGCTGTATGGAATTGCAAGTAGATAAATAGGTACCACTTCAGTGGGAAGGTAACAGCGTTCCGTGTGCCTTGGTGTTTAGTCATGCCGGCCACATGACCATGGAAACGTCTTTGGACAGCGCTGGCTCTTCGGCTTGGAAACGGAGATGAGCACCGCAACCCTAGAGTTGGATTCGACTGGCTTTCGAGCAAGGGAAACCTTTACCTTTACCTTTACCTATGGAACGCTAGTTATATATTGAGAGCCAGCAAAATGTAGTGGTTAGACTAGGGTCTGGGAGCCTTCGGTTCAAATGCCCATTCTGCCATGGAAACGCACGGGGTGGCTCTCAGCCTAAACTACTCTCGCAGGAATGTTGTAAGGATAAAAATGGAGAAGGTAAGAAAAGAAGAGAAGAAGAAGAGGAGGAGGAGGAAGAGGAGGAGATTGGATTTATACCCTGCCCTTCACTACCCAAAGGAGTCTCAGAGCAGTTTACAATCTCCTTTCCCTTCCCCTCCCCACAACAGACACCCTGTGAGGTAGGCGGGGCTGAGAGAGCTCTTGACAGAAACTGCTCTTTTTCAATAAAAGCCTTTATCAGAACTAGGGCTTGCCCAAGGTCATCCAGCAGGTGCAAGTGGAGGAGTGGGGAATCAAACCCGGTTCTCCTAGATTAGAGTCCGCACAGTTAACCACTACACCAAACTGGCTCTGAAGAAGAAGAAGAAGAAGAAGAAGAAGAAGAAGAAGAAG